GGGACCCTAACAGGACCGCACTTCAAGGGACGAGAGTGAAGCAATCACACCGGGCCCGCCTTCCAGTGTCTGGGCTGACAGATAAGGAGCTTGGGAGTCATCACTCCCGTTTCCACAAGAAAAAAAAGCAGAACAAACAAAACTCAGCCAATCTTTTAGAGTCAACGGAGCTTTGAGATCACAGGGCGCACCTCTGCCCCCCAAACTGGAGAGAAATACAGGAGGGTGCAGAGAACCTCAGCTTCCCAGAGTGGATGCCGAGGAGCGAGAACACCCACTGGAGCCAGGGCCGGGGTCGAAAACCTTCAGTTGTTGGAGGCTTAGTGTGGGCAAGCTGGGGAGTTAAAAACTACATGGGGGCCGGCCGGCATGGCCAGTGGTTGAGCGTTGGCCTAGGATCCAGGAGATCGTGGTTTGATTCCCGGTCAGGACACATGCCTGAGTTGCAGGCTCGATCCCCAGTAGGGGTTGTGCAGGAGGCAGCCGATCATTGACTGTCATCATTGATGTTTCAACTCTCTCCCCCTCTCCCTTCCTCTGTCTGTAGTCAATAAAGATATATTAAAAAATATATATGTGTAACAAGATTAAAAAAATAAAGATATAGAACAAAAAATTATCAGATTTTTATGGAACCATAAAACACCCCAAATAGCCAAAGCAATCCTGAGAAAAAAGAAGGAAGTCAGAGGTACCACACTCCCTGACTTCAAACTTTACTACAAAGTGACAGTAGTCAAAACAGCCTGGTCTTGGCAGGAAAGCGGACACAGACCAACGGAACAGAACTGAGAGCCCAGAAATAAAACCACGTGTGTTGGCAAATAATCTTCAACAAAGGAGCCAAAAACATACAATGGGGGGAAAAAAGCCTCTTCACTAAGTAGTGCTAATGAAAACGTATCTGCGGGCCTGGTGACCTCACTAGAGCAGCCGTGGATCAGAAGGCGGGGCGGCCTCCGCCGGGCCCCCAGCGGGCTGGGTGGGGGTGTTTTCCTGAGTCACTGGGGTAGCTCGCCATGACAACGGTCGCAGGCCGATTCCCAGCCTGCCTCCCCCTTCTCTTCCCGCTCCTTTGGCCTCGTTTCGGGGAGATGGTGGGTATGATCGCGCTCTGACTGCAGGAGGAGCAGCTCCACCTGAGCCAGAAGTGTCATCTGGGACCTGGACTCCAGGCGGAGAAATTCCTGCTTTTTGTTTTCTGGGACACGTGTATTATGGTAACATATCTGGCCTTTGTGTTACTTGAAGAATGAAGGGCTGTGGTTTGTCATAAACAAATGATGCCAAAACTATATGTTATCATTTAAACGTCTAGGTGAATGTTTTTTTTAAATCTTCACCCGAGGATATTTTTTCCATTCCTTTTCAGAGACAGTGGAAGGGAGAGAGAGATAGAAAGAAACATCGATGTGAGAGAGACACATCGATTGGTTGCCCCCCCACATGCGCCCCGACCAGGGCTGGGGATGGAGCCTTCAACCCAGGTACGTGCCCTTGGCCGGAATCGAACCTGGGACCCTTCAGTCCATGGGCTGATGCTCTAACCACTGAGCCAAACGGGCCAGGGGTAGGTGAACGTTTAGGACTAAACACTGTCACAGGTAATGTAGTAGTAGGAGTAAAGCTTAGTAACTAGATTAGATTGCATGTGCCAACCTTGCTGCTTTTTTACTTTCTGACCCCAAAGTGCGCACCTCTAAACTATGAGTGGGTTTTTCCCCAGAAGTTCCTTTCTTAGGTATACCCTGCATTTGCCCTAAGGACACGGATAGAAATCGCTGCTCCATTCCCAGGCCAGCTCCCAAAAGTCTGTTTCACACTCATGCACCCTACGAGCTTACTGATAATGGAGCTTCACTCGCCTTAACCGCATTTAACACAAGTCCGGGGCTGGTTGTACACTCTTTGATGATACATTTCTCATTTTTTCAAAATGCATTAAGCTGCCTCATTGTTACTACGTTAAGTTGTGAGTAACCAACACACAGAAACGAGAGTTGGCCGAACTCGTCCTGTGTGGCCTGAAAGCCACGCTGCATGGCTCTGCTATAAGACCTTATGTTTTTGACCAGCGTTTTTATAGAGTCGTCTCAATTTGAACTTGATGAGCCTTCGGTGTTTTACTAAAGACACCCGAGACCTTTTTAGGTAGGGAACAGACGTTTTAAGTTATGTAATCGGCTCAAGGAAGCTGGGCTTACGCTCCGGTGCTGCTGTGGGGAGGAGCGCTGCTGTGTGCGCGGCTCTGCTGTCCTTAAAGCGGGCAGCACTCGCCGTAACTTCAATACAAGTGCGTCTGTGGCGCAAGTGTAGACAGTGTGTCCTCAGCTTTTACATACCTGCGGTTAAACACAAATGATCGCTCTGGCCAGTGTGCTCAGTGGTTAGAGCGTCGGCCTGTGGGCTGAAGGGTCTCAGGCTCCATTCCGGCCGAGGCCAAGGGCTCGCACCTCGGCTGCAGGACTGGTCCCTGGCCCCGGTTGGGGCAGAGGGAGGCGACCAGTCGATGTGTGTTTCTCACATCGATGTTTCCCTCTCTCTCCCTTCCTTCCACTGTCGCTGAAAACCAATGGAAAAAATATCCTCGGGCGAAGATTAAAAAAAAAACAAAACACAAATTATTTTCCCCTGAAGAGGAGATGTCCTGCAGTGTCTTAACTCCAGTAGCATACCAGTAGCTAATGGGCAAATCAGGGCCACACTCAGAGCTCCTGGGTGAGGCCTGTCTTCAGAAACCCGGTCTGAACCCCACGTCAGCCCCGGAGGGGCCGGGAGGCGGGCGCCCGTGTGCCTCGTGCTGTGTCGGGCTCTTATCTACAGATTTTAGTGTCTTCTGTGGTTGCTGCTGACGTGGTTTGTTGCCGTCTCTGAGGAATGTCTGCTCTTGTTTATTCCTCTCGTTTGTCACTAGTTTGTCGTGGAGTAGTCCTGTAAACAATTCGCTGTGTAAAACTAAAGAAAATTAGAAGCAGTTTGGGCTTAAGGGGTGAAAAAGATTCTTAGGCCCCAGCAGTTCTTCGGGACGTCCTCAAGTTAGCCGCTTCCAGTCCCACACGCGTGTCCCTGGGTGCCAGGCAGCCAAGCGTGTTCTTCCTCTGACTTGCTGCTGTCCTCTTACGTCCAGCAGTTCCCTCAGGATTCTCGGTTTCCTGAAAAGCCTCCGTTTCAGCCAAGTAGCTCAAGCTATATAGGCCGTTTGCCGAAAATCTCCTGGGTTTGCTCAGGGACAAAAGTCCAAGAAACCCAATGGAGCTGCATTTACGTATTACCCCATGTTCATTATGGCCGTCTGCTCACTACTGATACACTTTTTCTTTTTTCTACTTTCCTCATTTTCACTAGTTATCCATAATGGCCATTTATGACTTTCATTGTCAGAAAATTTTATCTTTGCTGCACTCCGGTCCCTTTATATGTAATGCATCCTGAGGTGGTTGATCTGTTCGTAAACCCACAGCGACCCCAGCATGTCGCAGCTGTAAGAGTTAGTATCTGTGCGTCTTCCTCCAGAGAAGTAAGCGTTTTGCTTAAACAGCCCCTCTCGACTCAACTGCTGTAAAATTAAACCGAGCCCATTCTTTCGTGCCTAGCGGGTGTCCTTTCTAGTATCATATTAGGGAGCTTCGGGCAGAGTTAGATCCAACCCAGCTTCTCCATTCCTGGCTCTTATAATCTTGGTAAATAATTCTGTCTCCACGTCAGTCTCCGTAACTTTAAACTTGTGAAACTAGCCCGGCTGGTGTGCTCAGTGGTTGAGCATCGACCTGTATGATCCAGGAGGTCGCTGGTTCAGTTCCCCATCAGGGCACATGCCCAGGTTGCGGGCTCGATCCCCAGCAGGGGGCGTGCAAGAGGCAGCCGATAGAAACTCGTCAATGTTTCTCTCTCCCTCTCCCTTCCTCTCTCTGAAATCAATAAAAACATATTTTAAAAAACAAACTTGGGAAACACAGCGCGTCCTTCGTAATATGGGCATAGTGGTGCACCGAGGCGCAGGCGCAGAGCGCCCGGCAGGATGCCTGGCGTGGGACAGGTGCGTCACAGAGTCTTTGCTGAGGTTTTAGTAATGGCTTGAACAGGACATGCATTCAAATCAAGGAGGCGTGTCCCCAGGTGACACAGCATTGACGGTCGCTACGGACCGGGGCGCTGTCTCAGAAATGCAGCTAGGTGATTTTGTCACTGTGCCAGCGCCGGAAGGTGTGCTCACCCAGACCCATCTTCCCGGAGGGGAAGCCACAGTTTTCCTTAGTGCCGGGCAGCACCGCCTGCTGTGTGGAGGCCTGAGCCTTAGCGTCTCCTCAGAGCAGACGTCTGGGAGGAGCCAGGACAGCAGGTCTGTTCTGTTCCCAGACTTCTCCACGGAAACGTGAGGCATCTCGGTGACTGTGGTCCATTTCAGTGCCTTCCTCCGACATTTGATGTTAAGTTATTGGAACGATTAGAGCTGTCAGAATGTATGAAAGTTTTATTTGTAAATAGCATTTTATTTTATGTTTTTTTATCTTTACTGTTGAAAGTATTGCAGATGCCCCCTTTCCCCACTGGCCCCTTGCGGCCCCCTTCCCGCACACCTGGCCCTGCCCCAGGCCTTCCCCACACTGTCGTCTGTCCCTGGGTTGTGCCTTATGCGTATGAGTTCTTTGGTGATGAGCTTGATAGCACTTATTTTAATGGGTGGTTCTTTGAGCTGGTTGATGGTCTTTGCTCACCCCCTGAGGCTGCTGCGGGAGTGGGAGGCTCTGATCTGAGAGCTCAGGCCCAGGCACTTAGCTGCCTTCTTCCATTACCCCTCTCCTGACACAGAACTTTCACTGGAAAAGTAAAGGCAGATCCATCGACAGTCGCCCTGGCGTGTGCAGGGCAGCTGTCCTCGGGCTGGCTTGGCTTGATCTGTACCTAGCAGGCAGGTCCTTGTTGTTTGTGGTCCTGATTTAGCAAGAACATAGGGGAATCCAGCTTCGCAACTGAACCGCCGTATTTTTTCCCCTTTCCAGGCAGAAGCTTATTATCCCAAATGGAAGTTGCCCTGTTATCCTGAACACTTATTTCTGTCAGAAAGTTGTTGCCAAAGAAGATTCTAGAACAACACCTGAGGTGCGCTCCTGGGACACACCCCTTCCAAGAAGAAGCATCACTTTGGCCCAGACATTTAGATTCGAGAGACTAACAGATAATTCACCTGAAAGCCAGGTAACTCTCTGGTTTGGATGCTTTATGCTTTGTAATCCTGTTTGGAAGGGTTATAATGGAAGATGTTAACTTTCGGTTTTCCTTCAACTATTCAGCAAATATATATGTGAGAGCATCTTGTATTATTGTTATTCCCAAAGAAATTACAGTTGTTCAATATTTAGTTGTGATATTTTTATAGTACTTATCTTTAAATTTTGTGTTTTAATCTTTATTCTAACTTATTAATATATACAAGTGCTCATTTTTTTCTGTTCTTGTTTTATAATTGTCTAAGATTTTTTGTTTAAACCTTTTATTATCAAAAATACATTTTTCTCTTTCACAATATCTGCATCCCTTGGGATAGGAAGAGCTGCATAAACTTGAGATTGGATACTGGAGAGCATTGTTTTGGAATTTTATTGGCCCTGAGCCACGATCACCTGCCGAGATGAATGTAGGGAACCACTGAACTCACTTGCCGTGGGCACAGAGTTCACTCCCGGGACCCTCCATGCTAGGTGGCTCCCAGGGCACCTGCCTCAGGCGCCAGGTTACCCGATTCAGCCCTGGACGGGATGCTGAGGCTGACAGACAGCTGAGGGAACGTAAGAAAGGGAAAGGAGACACGCTTTCATCCCGCTTTGTGTGTGTGATCAAGCAGCATCTTCAGAGGAGGGACTGGAGCCCTAGCTGCCGTGGCTCAGTTGGTTGGACCATCAACCTGTGCACCAAAAGGCGGCAGGTTCGAATCTAGTCCAGGCACACACCCAGGCTGCGGTCCGATCCCTGGTTGGGGAGACAACTGATGTTTCNCTGTGCACCAAAAGGCGGCAGGTTCGAATCTAGTCCAGGCACACACCCAGGCTGCGGTCCGATCCCTGGTTGAGGAGACAACTGATGTTTCTCTCTCTCTCTCTCATATCTAAAATCAACTTTTAAAAAACACATAGGCAATAAACTTTAAAAAAAATGAGTTTCTGGAGGGAATTATGTGAAAAAGAGGACTCTAATCGATTTAATTTTACCGTATTTAGGGTATGGCCCAGTGTATCCCTGCTTCGGGGTCATGAGCTGTTTTCAGCAGCAGCGATGATGAGGCTGCCAGGGAGCAGAGTGAGGATTGTGGCCTTTGCAGCCAGGTCTTCTGGTCCCGTCCTGCCTCCCCCACTTTGCTGTAGGTGACCTTGGGCGAGATAGTTCATTTCCCTGTCAGTGTTCTTACCTGTAAAATGGTAATAACGATATAACCACCTCCTTGGTTTGCTCTGAGGTTAAATCTGTTCTGTAAGCACGGCATGTTAGGAAAAGCCCCTGGACTCGAGGAAGTACTCTGGAAGTGCTCTTTTCTTCTCATGTCTAATATTGTTGTGAAGACTGTTGGGAGGCTACGAGCATGTAGAGTGCCCGGCCTAGTGGACTGCCCACAGCAAGTCCTTAATAATATGACTGACTTTTATTAAATCCTAGTCATTCTTTTATTTTGTTTTTTAGTTTGTCCTGTGGGGATTATTACCTCATAAAAGAAACATTTTCTAAATTGCCATGAGATATTTTAATAGCAGGACTTTGTACATGTTTTCAAAGTTGCAAGATGGTCTGTGTTTCCACCAGTAGGAAACACTGTCATTTCCATGTGACTCTTACTCACCTTGCCCTCCTGCCAGTACTGGTCACCTGGCAGACATGGAGGTCTTGCTTTTTTATATTTATAGGTTTGTTTTTTATATTTATTCTCCTTTCAGTGCCCTGCATTTACATCAGAGATTACCTGAGTAGGTGCCATCATGAGCCAGATCGACAGGTGTCCCTTTGTGTCTTTCTCGGCCAGGTTATGTGTGGTCTCACCCCCACGAGGACAGACTGGACCCACAAGCATGAAGAAGCCGCACGGCCCTTCTCACCTCATGCTCCCCTGAGGGATTCTCTCCTGGAGACGGTAGAAAGCCAAGGAGCTGGCCCGGGGTCGGGAGCTGGATTCCCGGTGGTGGTGCAGAGAGTTTACTCTCTTCCCAGCAGGAGGCAGCAGGGAGGCGGCTCCGCTGGGGCACCCAGCTCAGACCCACCTGGCGCTCGGTGAGTGTGACCGGACTCGGGTGCCTAGAGTTGCTTAGAGAAACGAGGCTGCATTCACCGTATACGTGGGTTGGTTTTCTTTGGTTTTCTTGCATCAAAACTTGGTACCAGGGTGTGACAAAGGATTCTGCCTATTTATATACAGAGTCCTACTGAAATAATTTATTTTGTTGCGTTTACTTTTACCTTTAATGGGTCGTGTTATTGCAAGTAATACAAATACAAGAAATACTGGAAGTGTTGTAGAAAAGCCACTTAGTGTATTATCTATCGAGTTTTATGTCTCTTAAAAACCTGAGTAAGGCCCTAGCTGGTTTGGCTCAGTGGTTGGAGTGCTGGCTGGCAGACTGAGGGGTCTCGGATTCGGTTCTGGTCAGGGGCATGTACCTTGGCTGCAGGCTCGATCCCCAGCCCCGGTCGGGGTGTCTGTGGGAGGCAACCAGTCGGTGTGTCTCTTTCACATCCATGTTTCTCTCTCTCCCGCTTACCACTCTTTCTGCAAAGCAATGGAAAAAATATCCATGAGTGAGGATTTAAATAAATAAGTAAGAACTCCGCATAAGTGAACGGCACTTAGTGAGCCTGGAGACGAGCCCTAGAGGACACTGCTGTAACCTCTACCAGTGTCGCGCGGCCTCGCAGGGCTCCTGCGAAGACGTCAGCGTTGGATGTCTGCTCCGACCGGTGAGGTGGCCACTGACTACATATGCTTGTTGAGCACTTGGCTGGTGGGACCGAGGAATTATAAGTTTTATTTAATTTTAATTAACCTATTTTAAGTAGCTGCACGTGTGCCTGGTGGCTGCCTTGTGGACAGGGCAGCTAGGTGAACACATGTAAACACAGGCCAACATGGGGTTCAGAGAACTGCGCTCATAGGAACTGAGTGTAGGATGCCATCTCTTCTACTCAGGTTTAGACCCTTCCCGGTTTTACATTTGCTCAAATAGCTTTCGACACACTGTTGACTGGAGAGTTTGTTTGTTTATGTCAGAGCCGTGGCGTAACCGTCTGAGGTTGTCTGTCTTTCTGTGTTAAGTTGCCTTGGAGTGATACGGACTTAAAACAGGAGAGAATTTAAAGAGTAGATGCCGGTTCGTCAGTCGTCGTTTCTACCTACTCTTAATAGGAGAACGTGGCAGATGTGATAATCAACAGCCCTGCTCCCTTAGCGGCGCCCGATGCTGTTGGGAAGGAGCGCCGGGAAGCGCCGTGTGGATTGCGAGTCCTCTTCGCACGCTGGCGCTCGGATGAAAGCACTGAATCCCAAACGTCCCCTTCAGTGTGGAGCTAGAGGACGTTTCTTTTGGGTTTTGGAAAAATGCTATTTCTGTCTGTGTGTGTGTGTGTGAAATCCATCATACCAGCTTTAAGGTTTTTACCATGGCCCGGGCTGTGGGCCTATCTTGTACCCTTTGATGTGAATCTGTGAGTCTGCATAGAGTCGTCTGGGACAGTTATGGTTAGACAGCGGTTTCGTGTGCTTTCTGTGGTGTGTACCCAGTGTTCGGTTTTGGGGAAGGTACAGTGAGTAAGCCAGGCAGTGGGGATCCTGGTAAAGCTTCCCCAGACCAGCACACACAGCACATGCTCTGGGTTGATGGGGACACGGGGACTGAGTCACGAGGATGGGAAGGCAAGGTGAAACTGCCAGCGAGGTTCTTCCTGATGAGTCATCACGACCGCACGCACTCGAGGTGGTTCCTCCGGCTCCTTCAGTGGTCCTTGTTGTGCTTGCGGTACCTGTTGAGCAGGTGGATTGCTGTCAGGGTCCCCATCGTGGACACTTTGGACTCGCCCCTTAGAACACACCCTGGGACGTGGGACGGGACTGTGCTCGTGGTGGATTGAGGGAAGGCCAGGCATGAGCCTCAAAACGAGAAAATGGTCGTTACATGTAATGAAACCTATTGTGTGTGGTGTGTCTTTTGTTCAGGTGAGGTTGTGTGATGCTGGAGCCAGAGCCCCATTTTACAGATGAGCAAACTGAGCCTCAGAGAGGTTCTTATTTGCTGACAGTTACTTTGGTGGACAAAAAGGGAAACAGTGAGATATAGAATCCCAAAATGACAGGGCTGTAGGGAATGTTGATGCCACAAAGGGAGAAAATTGAGTTGGAACCAAGCTGTGTTTAGCGTAAGGCAGGCTCAGAAATCAAGTAATTCTGGGGCAGGAGAAGGGAAGGTGCCATCCATGGGAGAATTAAATGGACTGTGTAGGAAAATGAACTTTTGGACAGAGGGCCATAGCATTTGGCCTCAGGTTTGAGGACAAGGCCTCTGAGATACTTTTTGAGTACAAAAAATCCTACTGTGTAACTGATAATTAATATTTTCTGGCTTCATTTGCTATAATAAACATCAGGCTCTCCAGCTTACAAATCACATTAATATAGACGGAAAATTATACTTAACCCTCTACTAATTCTCTGCGAATGTAATATAAAGAAAAACATACTAAGTTACTGCCTTTGAGAATTACTTAACAATGTCTTCTAACGTAGACTTTTTATGCACACACATGTACTGTGCGTGTAAGAGAAACATCACTGGAAGTCTCAGGTACACGCCTTGGAAGATCACTTTCTTTTCTGCTTGCAGTTTCTATCTATAGCTTCTGTTTTTAAATTTTTTTANTCTGGCTTCATTTGCTATAATAAACATCAGGCTCTCCAGCTTACAAATCACATTAATATAGACGGAAAATTATACTTAACCCTCTACTAATTCTCTGCGAATGTAATATAAAGAAAAACATACTAAGTTACTGCCTTTGAGAATTACTTAACAATGTCTTCTAACGTAGACTTTTTATGCACACACATGTACTGTGCGTGTAAGAGAAACATCACTGGAAGTCTCAGGTACACGCCTTGGAAGATCACTTTCTTTTCTGCTTGCAGTTTCTATCTATAACTTCTGTTTTTAAATTTTTTTATTATTATTGATTTCAGACAGAGGAAGGGGGAGGGAGAGAGAGAGAGAGAGAAACATCAGTGATGAGAGTCATTGATCGGCTGCCCCTTCCGTACCCCCCACTGGGGATGGAGCCCGCAACCCGGGCCTGTGCCCCACCGGGAATCGAACTGTGACCTCCAGGTTCATAGGTTGATTCTCAGCCCCTGAGCCACACTGGCCAGGCTAAGGTGTTTTTCCCCTCTGCCTTCTTTCAGTATTTTTTCTTCTTTCTTTGGTAATTTGAAAATGATGTAGCTACATGTGGGTGTTTTGTGTTGTTTTGCTTTGTGCATTGGTTCTGCTTGTTCTCTGAGCTTCTGGATCTGTGGTTCGGTGTCTGACAGGACGTTGCTTGGAAGGTGGAGATGCAGATGGTGACAGGACCCCCGGGTGGATTGTTTGTTGCACAGGCAGGTGGAAGTCCAGGCCTGGAGCCCAGGGAGTGGTGGTGACGACACAGGAATTACCCCTGCACTGCAGTCGGTGTCTCAGCCAGAGTGTCAGCACTGCCTGTCAAGGCCGAACCTTTCAGACGGCCGAGCACCCGCAGCCTATTTAACAGCCTGAGAAAATGCCAGAGTAAGTCCCTGCATTTTCAGCTGATGCTGCGAGTAACCTCATACATTACAAGGCTGAGCTAGATCAAAACCCACGATGTTATGAATAACGCAGGCACCCTGTTCCTTTCATTCTTGGTCATGTTCATTTAGCCACGTCCAGCACAAGACGGAGCAGAGAAACAGCTGTGGGACCAGGACACAGGTTCTTCATGCCACCCAGAAGTGTGGTCTGAGGCAGGCTAGGGCGCTCCGAGCTTCAGGGCATCACTTGTGAGATGAAAGGATGGGAGAAAATCACCGCGGTCTCTTCCAGCAGCGACTCAAAGTCTGAATGTTTTATGTAGCTGTGTAAAGAATTAAAATAGTGATCATTCCTTTATCAGAAGATTGCTTCATCTTAGAAAGTAAGTCACTTAATAAATTATTTACACTTAAGAATTTAGACTATCTGAATGTATTTATCTCAGAGGTAACGATACATTTTCATAACAGAAACCCAAGTACTCAGTGTGTGTGCCTGTGCGTGCGTAAGAAATTGCTGAAAGTATTCTAGCTGTGCTTTTGAAAATGTTCTCTGCTCCCTACTTGCTAGAGAACTAAATCCAAGACCGTCTGGAAAATTGGCCTCGTGGGCTGATGGATCATGCGATCCCTGCCCTCCCCCCTCGGTGCTCAGAGTCCCTGCACACTCTGTTCAGTAAACAACTTCTGAGAGCCGCCCGGTTCATTCACACTGTTTGGAAAGCGCCTTCGCTGTGTGGCTCTGACTTACTGGCTGGAGTGGAGAGGGAGCATTTCTGTTTTCATGGTTCTTTTTATAGCGTTGAACCAGCTGTAGCTGGTTAACGTGGACCTGGCGCCTGCTCGCGTGCAGGTCTCTAGCAGGATGAAGGGCTCCTGGTGCAGGGCTGGTTCCTCCCAGCCGCTGCGGGTGGTGACCCAGATGGCTGCTGGAATGCGGGAGCCTCCTGGTGCCATTCCCGCCCGTCCTTGAAAACAGACAGGGACTCCAAAATATAGGCAGCTTTCCTTATTAAACTAGCCATCCTTGCAAAGAGAAAAAACACCAGCCATCCTTCCTGGCCCGTGCTCCCCTGGGTGACTCTTTCAGGGAGCGCTGTGATGCCTTCCCACCTGTGCGTTAAAACTCAGGAGGAGAAGCTGGTTTTCCTTCAGCCACAGCACGGACTCATCTCGTGGGGCAGCGATTCTCAACCGCGCGCCGCAAGCATTTCTAAATTTCTAAAACGTGCGGTACCTGTTTAGTCAGGGGCACTGACCTCTTTCCCCTGAGATTGTCAAATAGAGCAATGACGACAGCCACCAAAACAGTAGCCGGCCAACGTGAATCAAAATTACACCTTCTTGTGTGTGTGTCAGATCGGCAAAAAATATGTTTTTGGTGTGCCGCAGAAATTTAGTAATTAGTTTATGTGCCATGAGCTGGAAAAGGTTGAAAATCACCGTTGCAGGGGTAGAAGTA